TATGTTGTTCAGCGTTACAGTAAACAACTCCTGCAGGAAACAAAGGCACGAATAGTAACTGTACCCAGAGGCCCCATAGTAGTTCCTTTTTGGGATTACCTTATAGGATTCTATGTATGAGCCCCCAAAAGGAACTACGTTGGGGCCTTTGGGGTATTTTGCATGTTTAATCTTCACACCAACAGAAACGGCTCATCCTTACATCCACAGAGTCCACAGGTAGCTCACAGGCTGACAACTAGCAACCCTAAACCCCTAAACCCCTAAACCCTAAACCCCTAAACCCTAAACCCCTAAACCTTAAACCGTTGACAAAATATCTTGTGCTTGGTGCAACATCATGGGCTTCGCGATTTGGGTTGGAGGTTTGGGAGGGTCCAGGCCCAGGCAGGCTCAGACTATTACTAATGTGTAACCTACACGCCATGCTCCATCGGCTGCTTGAGCTTGCCAGACGCAGACTGTGTGTCCAGGCATGGAACTTGACCGCGCGCGAGGTTGGAAGATGGATGGGACGGGACTCGGACTAGGTGGAAAGCAGGATCCATAAACGAATGGGGCATGTGCGTGTATGTGTGTCTACATATATGTTTATATAATTGCTCATTTGTTCACACCTGTATATTCTACCATAAGGCATATATGCATTGCGCAAGAATGCAAATGGCCTTGGGGTTCGTGAAAAGGGCACATTCCTGGTGCTTGCGGGGAAGGTCAGAGAGCGAATGCACACAGTGCAGTCTGCATGGGTTAGACCGGCTCCAGGCATGCATAGAGAGGTGTTGTCAATTAAATTTGGCTCAGGGGTACTTAGAAATAATTTTTATTTTTGGTTATTATAATCCCTAAGAAACAGCTAAAATTATATTTTTGCTAGGCTTCTAAGTTCAGTATAGTGGGGTTTGTGCCTTGCAGGCTTAGGGTGGAAGATGGTGGAAGGTCCACGTGACTAGGGTTTACGGTTGATCCACACGACTCATCCCATCGCACACGGCTGTGAAGAAGCTTCCTGATGTAGATGCTTTGAGGAACGCAATAAAGGTCACTGCTATCACTGCTACCTGTGTGCCGTTGCAATACACCCTCAATTCCTGAACTGCTGAACCATGCGAGCCTCGTTTAATCCCAAAACCGTTTAGACCTGCCGCGCTTGCGAAAGATGGTGATGCACCAGCAACTTCTAAGATGCATCGAGTTTGCACAGGCGTCCCCGATACCAGAGTCATGGCCTCGGAACATGCACATGTTTGTTCATGGCACCGGTGATGGGTTGCATTACTGCATTCGCTGGAGAAACAAACCAGTAATCACTTCACCCATTTATTCATCACCACCCTTTACGATTGAAAGATCCAAAGTCAGGAAAATCCCCTTGAAATCATCCCGGCCTTTGAAGACCTGTTTCGAATTGGGGGCGTGTAAGAGCTAGAACAGGAGCAAGAGCTTTCGCAAGAGCCCTGGCAGGAGCAAGTAAGGGCGTACGAAGTTAACCACTGCGTGGTGACCGTGTGTCACGCAGTGTGGACCCTAGACCTAGCAGATTTCGTGGCAGATCATTCCGACATGGAGACCTCCAGGCGCCAAGCAACATACTGTAGGGGCCGCGGGCCCAAAGAATTACTAACACTAGTGTGGGGTTTCCTTAACCTGATTATAGTGTAGTATAACCCAAATCCCTATTCTAATTATCAAGGCACCTAGAGTAAGTGACTATACCAGAGACTTTCATCAACTGCCCAGAAGCAAACCAACCCCAAGGCCTGAGCCCCAAACCTTCGCTAAAATAAACTTCTCATCCCGAGCCAGATGTGGTTTGGGGCTTTGGGTTTAGGCTTCTGATTCAGAAACAGCCATCGCAACGTAACCACCCCTAAACTCTAAACCAACCCTAAACCCTAAACTCTAAATCCTAAACCCTAAACTCGAGGGTTGTGCCCCGGCACAGAGCTTCGCCGTGGAAGGACTCTGAGGACTGTCCTGGCAAAACCCCTATGCCTACTTGGAGAGTCGGGGGACTTAGTAAGTAGGTAGTAGGTAGACTTATAAGTACCTTAAAAGGGACCCCAATTGGGGTTATGGTACTTATAAGTCCCTAAAATAACCGGTTACTAAGTCCCCCGACCCTCCGTTATTATTCAAGCCGTAACTCTCTCAGTAGTTAGCCCTTAGCAGCCCCTGACAGTATCCCTAAACCCTAAACCTCTCACAGCAACCCTTAGCCTAAACCCCCGAAACCCAAAACCCTTATCTTGTAACCGTACCAGGTCTGCGCAAAGCCGGCTGAAACTTGAGCGAGCGAACGCAAATTGCGCAGCTTTGGGATCAAAAGCGATATCCGTGGATTTGGGGATTTCGAGATGGAGTTGTAAAGAGAACCATCTGGAGTATAAGTAGGTAGCTACACAAACAGTCAGGTCACTGCGTCCTTGGGCCTCGAGGTTTAGAGCTTCCGTCTCTGAGTCACAAAAGGCAAACATAGATACATAAGTACGCACAGAGTATGTGCATGCGCGGGCAAGCCGCCGCACCCACACACGGAGAGAGCGACCGAGAGACAGGGAGACAGACAGACAGACAGACAGAGGCGATTGTCTCGAGAATGACAATACTCTACCCCTGCGACACTTAAAGTATCTGAAAGTGCAGTTCCAGGAAACATGCCCAACAGGGCGAGTGGTTTGGCACCGGTTTGGAGCTGATGGAACCTGCACAAGCCAGCTTCACTTCTGCACCAAACCTCTGTTGTTCATTTTCGATGCTGCCGATCTCTGCCTAGCATCGAGATTTGCTGCGAACGTCTTCGTCTCAGAACCTCGTACGTGCCTGCAGGTCTAGAAATGGACCCTCACCCTGAACCACGCCCACCTTCTTGTAGCACTCTATAAGCCTATAAGAACAAGCCCGAACGCTAGCGTGCTTCCTGATTTTTTAGGTGTCCTTGCATAGCGACCTTGCATAGTGAGAGACCCTCGAGGATGGCTATGCAGGCCGAGAAAGGGAGGGAGAAACCCGACACCCTACAAACCCTAATCTCTATGTTCTCAATATCCGTCATTGGTCCCACACCCTAGACTCATAGCAGCAGCAGCGATCATGTCGGAATGGGGCCCCGGCGTGCATCTGTCCGAGACTTCACCAACCAGATCAAGGCCAGGAACTACTGGATGGGTGTTTCGGGTTCAGGGGCGATGGCCCTATGTAGAGCCGAGCTGTCTCCAATGACGAGGTCCCAACCGTGAGGCTGTGAGGTCAGAGTTCTGGGTTCGAGAGGGAGTTGTGGGGACTTTACATCGCGCCAAGGCTACAAAGTTCAACTCAGACATTGTTGTTGTCGTTCTTGTCATTGTTTGTTTCTGCACTGTGCACAGTTCCAGGTATCTTTCTTCACTGTGTAAACGCTCGTTCTTATTTGGGCAATTGTGTGCAGAGCTGAAAAAGGGATTCCACTGCGTTGGGCTCGTGGGTTTAGCGGTCTTTCAACTCATAGTCTTCTGTTCCTCGTGTTGAACCCGAAACCTGCAAATTACGTCCGGCTTCCTCTCGGAGGTTCATGGGTAGTTATACGTGGGGTTTATAAGTAGGGTAACTATATTTATAACATGTTATATCCCATATTAAGGGTTGTGCAACACCACTTATACCTACCCATGTGCCTCAAAGCTCACGTGAGTTCCAGGGACACCGAAAGGTTTTGTCGGGACGGGGTGGAGCACTCCGCCAATGCGAAGCAACGAACAGGAAATCTCATGCAAGTGCGATCAGTGACAGGTTGCGTGTTTTGGTGTTCTAGGGCCAGAGTTATTTTCGGCAAGCATGTTCGAGACTCTGTCGAATTGTGCTCAAAGATCGCGGATCCCAGAACGCCGAGGAGGCAAGGGAACTGCAGATGATTAATAAGTAACCAGCCAAACCCGACAACTTTGGGTCCTTCTAAAGCTAAGACACAACCTCGATAAAGACCCTCCCCTAAATACCCCCCCCCTAAACCCTAACCCTCGAGCTCTAGGAATGTGCTGCGGGGCGGCAGTGGGTACAAGCTTTGGCGTTGCTCCGACAAGCGGCGGCTCATCCAACAATAGAGTTAGTAGTAGTACTGACAATAATAATATTGAAGTTGAACTCTGTTGATCTTCTGTACTATCACAACTATCACTACTACGACGACGACGACGACGACGACGACTACTACTACTACTACTACTACTATTAAACATAAAAACGGTCTATTAATGTTGATACTCATCAACCAACAAGAATAGTAATAGTAGTCTGGTAATATTAGCAATTAGTACGGTGGTGCTTGCGACCCTGCATTGTTTTGTTTGGCGATGTCATGCAGGCTTCGAAGGTTTCGGGTGTGGGCTTGGTATTTGGGGGGTTGTATGGTTTGGGGTTTAGTAGGGATCCAGGGTTGAAGTTCAAGGAGGTTAGGGTATGAAAGTGCAGGACTGAGGAGTGTGGTGGGGCTCAGGTCTGGGAGCCTAGACAAGAATGCAAGCCCCAAGTGCCTTTTGAGGGCGCATGTGTAGTATTTTTCGATCCAATACCAACCCTCAACCCCTCAACCTTTGAACCCCACATCTCAAAATCCACTCCCTACTGCATACGGTTGGTGCTCAATTCTCAAGTGCTCTCAACCTCATCTAAGCCAACAGGTCTGAAGCAAGGAACACTAATCAAATCTAGGGTCCGAGTGAGACGAGTGTTTTGGGATGTTTTTTACTCAGGCGACTATGACTACCAGTCATGTGAAAGGTGGTCATCCTTCGCTCGTAGGCAACGCCATACCTGCAATGCAGGGTCCCTCGGACGCTGACAAGTGGGAGCTAAAAAGTCATTACTAGTCATCCAGACCCATTGCCCCTAAGTTCGTACTCATTGTGAGGTATGTGTTTCGAAACTTCAGCAAGCACGGATCATAAGGTTGGAACTTAGACTCAGATGTTGATACTCTCGCCTTTCTTAGCTTCAGTTGATATCTTCAAGTCCGTTGTGGCACGATGTTTGCTGCTTCCGAGGTCGTGCAGTGCGGCATCCAAGTGGATGTCATCGTCTACAACTCAGCCCTCACCGCCTGTGGCCGTGCGAGCGAGTGGCAACGGGTCTGTAGCTCAGAAATCAGAAAATCCGATATTTCAAGTTTCCAGCGGTCGACAGTGGTACTGATTGCGTTCTGAAGATGCGGATGATGACCATGATGATGACGACGATGATATTGATTATCATGATGATGAACAGAGCAATTAGTTTGTCAGTGCTTCGTGACTCGCTTTAACAGCTTTATGGTGGCCCGCTTCGTAGTTTTTGCTTTGTGGTTAAAACAAGCACTGGGGTTTATCATCCTCCTTTCCCCGAGATGGCAGCTTCTCACCAAAGGTTCTAATCCGGCCAAGCCGAGTGTTGGTCTTGCAAGGCCAGTTAGACTAGTCTGGCAGAAAAATCAGCAATGCCTTAATTAATATATATATATATATACATAGAATTGGTTAAACCAAAAAAGGAACTACAATGGAGACTATAGGTATCATCGAATCCGAAAGCTCTTCATCGCAACACTTCCGCATCGGACTCTCGAAATACGGTGGACTCCTTACCACAAGTCCCGGACCGCTATTCAGGCAACTACCCTACACCCAACAACTTAAAACCCTAACGCCTTAATCCGCAACCCTATACTGCATATATTCGCAAAGCCGAAGCCCTTGCCTGGCTTTGCCCGAGTGTATCAAAAAGCCCTTTCCCCTGAATCCTAAACCCTACATAAATCCTAGTACTTGGAGGTTCATGGGTAGTTATAAGCGGGCTTATAAGCCCCTTAATATGGGTTATAAGTATTGTTACCCTACTTGTAACCCCGCTTATAACTACCCATGAACCTCCAAGTACTCCCTGTAAGGCCCTGGAGCTTCTACGGAGCGTCGATGCTGGCGGCCTTCTGCCGACAGTCGTTACATTCGGTGCGGCCATCAGCGCCACGGAGAGGGCCGCAAAGTGGCCAGAAGCTCTGCTGCTGTTGGAGGACTTGGGGCGGAGGGGCTTGCAGCCGAACGTGATTCTATGCAGTTCCGCAGTCAGTGCCTGTGAGAAGGCTGCTGAGTGGCAGCAAGCCTTAGGCTTGCTCGTGGAGATGCAAGCTTTAGAGGTGCAGGCCAACATCATCACTTGCAATTCTGCAATTAGCGCATGCGGTGCATCTTCCGAGTGGCGACAGAGTCTGCATCTGCTCGAAGAACTGGATGCCATGAGCATGCAAGCAGACATCATTTCCTTTAATGCAGCTGCTTGGCTCCCATTTTCGTGACGGGGTCCTTTTAAGTATCATCTCACGAACACCTACGAACATCACGGTGATAAGCACAAGGGTTCTTCAACTGTTGCATACTGCTGGTTTCTGCACGGCTTGTTGGGGGACTTGGCTCTGGCGCTGGGGTCGGTCTGGCTTTGTGGGTTCGGCTTGTAGTGATGCATCTGCAGACGGATGATGGCCAGAGAGGCACTATATGGCCTAGCATTTAGGAGTTATAGGGTTTAGGATAGGGAGGATAGGGTTTGGGGATGCTGGTGATTACAATTACTGTTTCGTGTGGTGATGTTGGTGAGAGTGGCAATGGCAGTACCATGCAGACAAGCCCACTCAAGAACAATGGATCTACATGGCACATAGTGATACTCGACGCCTAAGCCCTAACCCCTATATGTATGTATGTATATATATATATATATATATATATGTGTGCATATATCTAGACATATATATATATACATATGTATATATATATATATATATATATATAAATGTGCGCCATGAGGCATGAAACTCACTGGATAAAGCGAGGCTATATCTGCCTGCGAATCTGCCGGTGCTTGGGACGCTGGCTTGGCTGTCCTCCAGAGCCTTTCCTCCAGGGACCTGCAGATGGAGCCTTGGGCACTTGAGGGTCGGGGGACTTAGTAAGTAGGTAGTAAGTAGACTTATAAATACCCTAAAAGGGACCCTAATTGGGGCTATGGCACTTATAAGTCCCTAAAATAACCAGTTACTAAGTTCCCCGACCCTCCAAGCAGTCGGTTGCTGTCGGCCGACATTAAGATGAGCAGGGAGAAAAAGAAAGGTTTGAGGTTTGATGTTCAACCCGTAAGCCCTCCATCCTTAGCCGAGGAGTTGAGGCTGCGAAGATTACAGCAGTTCTTACCCGGAGGTCGAGGTTTGAAGAGGCTGTTCTAGAAGCCTTCATTAGGGCTTGTAGCTGTGTCGGGCCGCGGCTATCCCAGTTCATAGCGCCGAGGCCTAGGCTACAGAACTGGGTCCGCAGCGGCTGCCTAAGTCGCTGGTAACCAGCATGTTTGTACCATCCTGGACCGCAACCCGCAAACTCCAAACCCTAAACCCTATACCCCTGCGCCTGCTTTGCGGGCCCGTCCGAGCGAAGTACCAAGGAACAAACCCTATACCCCTTCCCTGGCCCTTCAACCCTAAACCCTACAAGCCCTAAATCCCTGAACCTTCAACCCTATAAACCCTGAATGCCTAAGCCCTAAACCCTAAACCCTTTTGAGCACCGAGGATCTGATCACCTGGAACACAGCAATCAGCGCCTGTGAGAAGGAGCCGGCTTGCAATAGCCGGTTCTCTCATGCCTACCAATACCTCCACTTCTGTAGGTTGTTACTATAAACCATAATATGGAGTTTATACAAGCTATAGAGACCCTACGAAACAGTAGGTCAGTAGGTTCTGGTGTGTTAAGCTAAACCATAAACCCGAAAACACTAAACTGTTACGGGTTTAGGGGTTTGGGTTGGGGGTTTAACGTTTGGGGTTGAGGTTTAGGCCTACTTTGGACCCATTGGGCAATGCTAAGACCAAAGCCTCAACACTTGGAGCCCGCTAAACCCTCAAGCAGACGTATATAAGTGGGGTTATAAGTAAGGTAGCTATAACTTATAGCCTGGTTTATAGCGAACTTAAAGAACCTTGAAAGCCGACAATAGCGAGGCAGGAAAGTGGCCAGAAGCGCTGCAGCTCCTAGCTGGTCTGGGCGAAGCTTGTGAGCGGTCTCGGGTTGTGTGGATTGGATTTTACCTCTTTTGGGTTTACGTAATGGTTCGAGGTTCAGGTTGTGGGCTTTCGGCCGAGATTTCGGGGTTGCGATCTCTGCCGTCCTTATGCGCCGTGTGCTGGTGATTGCTAGTGTGCTCATGAGGATGCCCACGCTTACTCGACTATAACATCATGACACAGGTATTAGTGGTTCTTACAGAGCCTTTTTTCGTGCTTCTGTATATCGCTTGCTTGCGTTTCTTGTGAAGCTTGTGCGTAGCGTGGCCCAGGAAAGCTCCTACGAACCCGATGAGATCACCTACAACGCGGCAATCAGCGCCTGTGAGAAGGCTGCTGAGTGGAAGCTGGCCCTTCAGTTGCTCCTGGAGGTGCCGCCGGCTGATAGGGTTTGGGGTTTAAGGGTTTTGGGTAATGGTAGACCTTGGTAACTACAATGGGACTTCTATTGCTTGTAAGTAACGGCTTTGGCTTGAGTTATGTATTCTGCATATCGGGCCTGCAAGGGGGTACAATGGCTTCAAAGGGTTTGGGGCTATAGTATATCTCTACAGGTATTCTAGTCTCATGGTTTTGTATTTCTTATGAATACGGAGTGCCCGGCTTTAGGGCCACAGGGGCATTTGTAAGATGCCTTGGGTACGGCCCCCACTCAGTAATAGTTGAATAATATTCATAACAAAGATATATTAGGGCCTTAATAGTAGCCCTATTATCGACTATTACTGTATGGAGGCCGTACCTAAAAGATGCCCATTTCAGCTTCATCGGGCTTGTGATCCGATCCGCTCCTGGGCTGGAGGGTGCAACGCCCATTCCAGCGGCTTACGGCCCTTTGGACTGTATTCCTCGCCAGATAAGCTTATCGTTCAGACAGCTCCACCATGGTGTAGCCAGAGCACGGGCACTCGGAGGAGGATGCAGAGGAGGTGGGACAGCAACAGTCGCCAAGTGCCACCATCACAACGACGACCTTGACTACACACCGTATGTTGTAGATGTCGGCGATATTGGCTGGGTTGATGGGAGGAGCGCGAGGATGATGCTCATTAACATGATGACCATGATGATGATTTCGGTGATGAGAATGAGTAGGGTGACAATGAAGACGAGCGTGATGACGATGATGACGATGAGGCTAAGAATGATGAGGATGAGGAAGATGATAAGAATGATGCTGCTGGTGATGATGATGGCGATGATGTTGATGGTCATGATGGTGTAGTGAAGGCGCCTCATGTGCTTCTCATCACGATGTCGATGATGTTGCTTCTTGTGTTGGTGCTGAGGTTGATGATGATGGTGATGGTGACGGCAATGTGTTAACGGCTACGGTCGTAGTGATCCGAGTTGGTTGGCTAAGTTGTGATGTGTCTGCTGAACTTGTTGACTTCTATGATGATGTTGATGATGATGATGATGATGGCGATGACGGTGATGATGATGGTGGTAATGATGACGGTGATGACGATGACGATGATGATGATGGTGGTGATCAAGCGATCTTGAACATGATGGCTACAATGAGAACGGTGATCAAGAAAAGAAGATGATGATGGCAAGCAAAAATATCGATGCATTTGTCAGACCGAGGTTCAGCACGGACCTTTGAGGCCTTCTGTTGTCACCTTCAGTGCTGCGATCAGTGCCTGTGAGAAAGCCGGCATGTGGCGACAAGTGCTGGTGTTGCTGTCAAGCCTCGCCAACGAGGGCCTGCAGCCAAGCTTGATCACCATGAATGCTGCGATCAGTGCCTGTGAAAAGGCAGCTGAATGGAGGAAAGCCGTGTTACTGTTGAGCCAGCTGCGAGCTGCCAAGCAAGTGCCAGACATCATTACATACAGTGCATTAGTCAGTGCCTGTGAGAAGGCCAGCCGATGGCAGCATGCAGTTGTGCTGCTTACAGAGTTCTCCGCCACTGGCGGGCAACCGAATCTGATCACATACAGCTCGGCCATTTGTGCCTGCGAGCATGCAGCTGAATGGCGGCAAGCTTTCGTCCTCATGGCTGCGGCAGCGAACAGCAGCATCGAACTTGACGCAATTACCTACGGTCATGCCATCTCTGCCTGTGAGCATGCAGGACAGCCAGAGCCGACTCTGCACTTGTTGGGGGCCTTTGATGGGATCCTGGCCGAGAGCTTGGATCCGACCTTGCTGTTGGGATTGGAAAATCCGCGGTATTGACATCTCAATGAAACCCTAAAGGCCCCAAAACATGTTGAATTTCGAGACATCCCACCAGATCAATCATTGCCTGATTCCATTGAGTCCAAGACTGAAAGCACACGGAAGTTCTTTCCGTCATTTTGCAGTAGGATGTTGGCGTGTATCTGTACCTATCAAGCCAACAATCCAAGCCCAAGTATCGTAAGTCCCAAAACGGCCCCATGACCAGTATATGTATTATACAGCCCCTTATGAATCCCTCATAGTAACTAGGATGCCGACCAATGTCCGAGAGCTGAGTCTGAGCTAACTTGCGTTGTGCATGAGGTTGCTCTCTTAATGCCTCTATCCTTTGCTCGCTCGTAGCTGGCGTTGTATCTCTAAGTGTGTTTTTTGAAAAGGTGTTTTACTGCTCGAACTTATTCCGATGCACACAGACAATGTTTGTTTTTTTTTTGTGCGGCTGTTGTATCTATGCAGGAGTTGCTCTTGTTCACTACCTGAAATTGCGACGGAGCAATCCGCTTCTTCTTATCGTTGTGATTATAGTTTGTTGTTCTTAGCTGTTGTTTTCTCCTCCGACTAGCATTGACATAAACATGAGCGAGTCGACACGCTTAAGCCGAAGCACGGTCAGCGTCTTAGCGAAACGCAATCAATTGAAATCAAAGCTGTGGGTGGGGGAAGGCCGGCAATGTTCCATCGACAGGTTTCCTACTTTAGTGACGCCGCGGGTTTAGGAAGTTAGCAGCAAGTTAAAACACACTTATTTGCAAGTTAAAATGAAGTTAGAGATGGACTTATAACTTATTTGTAACTCGCTAACTTGTTGCTAAGTTTTTTGATGGTTTTTCTGCAGTTACAGACACTCAATCGTTTTTAGCTGGAATTGGCCTAACTCAACCGACAGAAGCAGTCAAATGAAGAAGATTTCGTTTTGTCCTCAGCACACGCCAATGCCACTAATGCAAGAGTGGGGTACTGGAGGCTGCAGTACTTGCAGACGGCTTGCTGCTTTTCGCTGGGTTCTGGAAACTGCAGTGCCATGGCTCGCGGGAGCACAAGGACCCAAAAAACAAAAGGCCGGTCTTTCACAAAAAGGCTGCTGGAGCAACAGCGGCGATTGCGAGAAAGCAGCAAATGAAGCATGACGGCACCCAGCCCGGCGGACACATGGCATTGCTGACCGCGGGAGAACGGCGGACACCGGCGGACAGGCGGTTCCTATGACAAGGCCCTCGATTGTAGACCGGCGGACACGGGCGGACAGGGACATGCTCCTACACGGCTAAAGCAAGGGTGCGGCGGACACATCCGGCGGACACTCCTCCGGGGAGTCTTGGGACCCGGCGGACACAGGCGGACACGGGCGGACATTTGGCGGACACAGGCTTTTAGCCGAATTGCAGCTTCTTTTGACCGCGGAGCTAATAGAATTGCTTCCGCAGATTTTCTTAGATTCGCAGCCTGCTTGCTTTGGATGTCAGGGAACTGAGGCAACGTCTTCACCCCCATAAGGAACATCTAGGCAGCTGTAATTGCCCTTTCCAGTTTTTTGTCGACATGGCCGCCACAGTGGCCGCCGCAGTGCTACCCTGCTCCTTGAGAAATGGCTACATTTCAACATATCTATCCTATAACCGAATCTTATCGAAAACACCTTCAAAAACCCATGGTCGTGCAGCAAACATGCAAAATTTAATGAAAACGCTAAGTACGCTAACTTCTTGCTAACTTTTTTTCCTGCTCTACCCTAACTGCCCGCTAACTACTCAACTTCTCGATATCTACGTGTTTTGCTAACTTAAGTTAGCAAAACTTATAAACCAGTTAACGTATTTACAATCCAAGTTAGTGGCTTATTCAGCACTTGTAACTAAGTTGCAACTCTGTATGTCCTAGGCGACACCAAAGTAGAACGGTAGGTAGTGTATCGCGTAGCTTCTCGAAGCTCGAACGCACTGGGACGTTCTGCCGAGAGTGAGGGTGTTCGGGCTTCGATTTGGATGTCTCCAGCTGTTTCGTGGCCTTTAAGTAAGCGACATGAACAAAACACACGATGAGGCATTCTGGTGAGAACCGCAACCGTTGAGTTTTCTGGCGGTCCAAGGAAAATGCCAGGCGTAGTGTATGATATCTTCACTCACACGCAGCTCATTACCAGATGGAACCGGCAGGATCAATGGCCCCAAGGCTTACAACTTTTTGCAGAGGTCGGCCTTTGCCGATTACAGGCAAGTGTCGTGACATACGGTGCTGCTATCAGCTGTTACGAGAAGGCTGCGAAGTGGAATGCTGCAGCAAGGCTACTTTGCACCCTCCCAAGCCGACACATGCAGCCGAACGTTGTCACATGCAGTGCGGTGGTAAGCGCTTGTGCAAAGTGCCCGGGTCGTTGGAACGAGGCCCTTCTGCATGTGAATCTGGCTCGCGTTCGTCTTGTCCATCCCGATGTGATCGTGTACAGTGCGTCGATCACCTCATCCGGTGCATCGTCCGCATGGCTGCAAGCGCAGATACTCCTGCGAGATATGGAGCACGCGCTTCTGCGACCGAACGTGATTACGTATGGTGCAGGCATTACTGCGACTGGGAATGCTGCAGCATGGACGCAAGGCATCATGGCATAACACCAGCATATAACAAACTTAGGCGGCGCCGGCTGCTTAGCCAAACCTTTGCAGAGAATGAGATGGCAAAAGCCCGAGTAGCCTCCTGTTTAGAAGCACCAGCATATCTTCGGCTGTATTATCAGGATCCAGTGCCTGGAGGGTCGGGGGACTTAGTAACTAGCTAGCAAGTAGACTTATAAGTACCCTACAAGGGACCCTAATTGGGGTTATGGTACTTATAAGTCCTTAAAATAACCAGTTACTAAGTCCCCCGACCCTCCAAGTGATCCAGCCAGGTATCTTCTTGCTTGGCAACGTTTTCGAGATGCAGCTGAAGCCCGACCTCGTGAAGTTCAACGCCTCTGTTACTTAGATAGTGAACCGGGAACTTTAAACTTTTTGGCCTTATATATTAGCTCTATCCTAGAAAGTTTGAACTTTTTGGGGGCCCCGTTGTTGAAGAAACGAGGTTAGCTGCTGCGAGAGAGCTGCAAGGTGGCAACGGGCATCCCAACGGCAAGGAGCTTTTGAGGAGGGCCACGGACCATTTTAGGTCACCTGTATATGTGTACCTGTACGTGAACAGACATACAAATATTAGTAAATGTATATATAGTTATATATGTATGTTCGTTACATATATATAAATACAAATATATATATATATATATACACACACATGCACACCCGCATCTATTGTTATTAGTATAATTAAGTCGCATGCAGGGTACATAGTAAAGGGTATCCAGCATCTTAAGTCGCATATGTATGTTCGCTGTTGATGACTGCATCTGTCATACCAGGCTTCAGGATGCAGCTGCTGTGCTCCAACGGACTCTGCCGTTCGCGCAATGTGCGCGCATGCACCCATGGGGGGAGGAGCAACAGAGAACTACATCAAAACACATTCTCTTTCCTGTTCGGAGTAGGTGTCGGCAGCATGAGCAGCAGCAGGAGCAGCAACAGCAAGCAGGAGAGGAGCAGGAGCAGCAGCGTCGCTAACTAGCAGGAACAGAAGCTCAAACAATTACCATCGCTAGCATCGGCCTCTTCATCGTCACATGAGCTCAGAGGGTTTCAGGGACTTATCTGCAGCCGAGGCAAACCAGCTTTTGTGGGAAGCGGCAGACCGGAAGCTGCTTCCGAACTTGATCACAAGCGCCTCGAATCTTCTACTCGTCATCGACCCTACTCTCTTTCGAGATCTTAGGGTTTAGGGGTCCTCCTGTGCTGAAAATTTGAAAAGGATCCCTCCTTCTGATCTTCGGTTGAAGTTTGCATTTCTTGTTTAGGGGTGGAGTGTAGATTTTTGTTTCGGGTTTAGTGCCCCTCTCTCTGATCTTTGGTTAGGGTTACAGTTAGTTTCGAGCTTGCGGTTCTCAGAAGAGCTCTCCCTAGTGTCGCAGCGCTGTGGGCTTATATAGACTGTTCAGGAGGGTACAGGCTGGCTCGAGCCCAAATTTAGGGCATGGGGTGCTCATAGGGTTTACGTTTTTATCAGTTACAGTGGTTTAAACGAGGTTTGGGTTTATATTATTTTCTATTCATGGCCAGAAAGGATTGGCCCTGTATCCTACGATTTGAGTACTGGGCTCTACATCTGATATAGGGCGCTCATTCATTAAAGGATACATCCATCGACCCTGAATTTGTGTTAGGACGCCTTGCTGTAAGGACCCCTCAGAAAGTTACGATCCATGTGCTGAGACCTCATTTGCTAACCTCAGCCAACGAACAAAACGGCAGGCCTTCACGGTTCAATATAGGGGCCTTAATAATTACCGATACAATTTTGGGGGCGCCCCATCATAGTTATAGTAGAACGGGCCCCCAAACCCCATGCTAATTATTTCGCCCCCCTATACTATAGAACCCCCCCCCCCTAGAGATCCCTTATGGAACCCTTTTCAGGATCCATTTAAAGGGGACCCCTATTCTAATTATGAAGGCCCCCTATAGTATGCAAGACCCAGAGTCCCTGAAAGCCTGACAAAGCCTGTGAAAAGAAGCCCTCTGACCAGGACCCTCCTGGTACCCTCAAATAGGATTTGGGGTTTAGGGTCTCAAACAATGCACCTGCACAGAGTCGGGTGAACCCGAAAGGCCGCGATGCAAGGATCTGGCTAACCCCAAGCCCAGTGGCAAAAGGGTCTCAAACGGGGGCACATGGTCCCAAAGAATGAGTACTTATAAGGGCCTGCGGTCTCATAGAGGGTAGATGGAATGTCTAGGAGCCAAGCCCCATCTTCGAGAGATCTGAGGTAACACGGTGGTGAGTGCTTGTGCTCAAGATGGGAAGTGGCAACAGGCCCAAGACGGATGGGTAATTGATGGCGGGATGCTCAGGTTTAGAGTTTCGGATCAGAGGGCTTAGGGTTTAGGGTTTAGGGTTTAGGGTTCAGGGTTTAGGGTTCAGGGTTTAGGGTTTAGGGCCTAAGTTTAGGGTTTAGGGTATCTAGTTCAATGTAGGATTTGGGGGTAGGTGTTCAGGTCTCAGCTGAGCAATGTAAGGTAAAAGAGTCGGAGGGCTATGGCATGGAATGCAGCAGCTGTGTTGATTGTGCAGCAAACTCAATCCAAAAATCCAGAGCAAGAGAAGCACCAAAGTGCGAGAAAACGAGATGAGAGAGACACAGGGAGAGAGGGAGAGAGAAGCGGGTTGCTTGTGTCGGCTAGATCGGGTATTGCCCCGAGTGGTACTCCAAAGCAAGAAGTGTCATGCAGGACAGCCGTAGTAGAGTCGGACTGGGGGGTGGGGGGGGGGAATAGGGGCCGTCCCAGAGTGAATCTACGAAGTCGAGTGATGCAGACGGGGGTGTGGTGAAGCTTGAAGGCTAAGTTTGTAATGGCTGGATCCGACCGGCCTGCTTCCTGCAAAGGCGGTTTCCAGATGTTAGAGGCATTTAGAGGCTCTGGCCGACCGTAAAAAAAGCATCCAACAACAAAAACTGAACCCCAAACCGGGCTTGGGCAAATTATACTATAATTATAGTAAGGAACCCCAAAACCGCAGCAGAAACCTATCGACCCTGGCACCACCAACCCTCTCTCCGAAGGCCTCGCTGCTGCTGGAAAGCAACTGGCAGCCTGCCTGGCCAGTCGGAGTTCGAGTTCACTGGGGCTCAGGATTAGGGTTTCTAGGGTTGCTTTGTTATATTTACTATTCTCGTTTTAATGAATTATGAAAACGAGAGTAGTACTAACAATGTTCACAAATAATGACAACAAGTTCTTCGGTTCTTAAACCTCTATAAGTTTTACAGGCCATGGAGACTGCAAGCTTGAAAGGGCCCCCAAATGTCGGGTCTTGTATGGCGAAGCCTCAAATGCCCGGAGCCCCTTGGACGTGAACTCCAGACAAGCCCAAAGCTGCGTGCTTCCTAAAACCCTGAACGCTGTCTGGGAATCTGGTGTAGGGTTTATGAGGTTAGGGCAGTTTGGGGCATTTAGAATGTAATTCGAAGCCCTCAACCTGGCTTCAAGGCAGACTCCCTCATTCCTACAACACCCTTGTAACGGCAAAAACAAGGTTTACGTTTGGGGTTTAGGGTGTGGGCCCTTCTCGCTGAGTCCGGACTCCCAAACCCTAAGCCCGCCCACTACCCCTCTCCTTTGTGGTAGTTGGGTGCTGTGGAGCAGGGTCGCAAAGCTTTGCCCCCCCAGTCTTCATTATGTTACCCCAAGCCTGCCCGGCGATAACTTTTGCCTCTTCTTTCCTTACCTTTGGTTAGTTGGGAATGGAGGAATGGGGTACAATTATAACTATAATTACTATTACTACCATTCTTCCATTCCCTACTAACCAAAGGTAAGTTTCTGGCCTTGCCCGCTTGCCCTGCCCCTCCCCCCCTCAAGGGTCTCCCGGAGGCCGGTGACGGTGCTCGGCTCGCGACGGTGGAGGGGAAGTCGACGAGGAGGTCAATCTCCGTGATTTTTTTCTGTGGCCGAAAATCTCGTGAACTCTATTTGAAAAAGAAGCGCTATTTTAGTGGGGCCGGTTGTCGATGTTGGGTTTCCTCCTTTTTTCTTTGTGCTTTGTGTGTGTGTGTGTACCTGCTCTAAACCGTCCGCCCCTACTGGGGGCCCCGCAATTTTCTTGCATTTGCGGGTGGCTCGGCTTGGCTTGCTGTGGTGGTCTTGCAGGCATGTCTTTATGCTGCTGCGCGCTAAACCAGCGCACGACTTGTCGAGCAAAGCCCTGAACCCTGACCCCTACCTGTAGCCGCAAAGCCCTATGTTGCGGTTTTCTAATTATGGTTTCTCTCTCTCTCTCTCTCTCTCTCTCTCTCTCTCTCTCTCTCTCTCTCTCTCTCTCTCTCTCTCTCTCTCTCTCTCTCTCTCTCTCAACAATATATATATATATATATATATATTTATATTACATATATGTATACATGTATATATATATATATATAATATTACATATGTATATATATATATATATATATGTGTGTCTAAAGATAGTTCGTTAAAGCGGTAGGTCTTTTCGGCTACAGATAAACCCTGAGGCCATGGCCCGAGGTTTAATCCCCAAAGCCAAGGAAGCGGCGCCTGCGCAGCGACGTCATCTCCTGCTCAGCCTCTCGGCTCCTTCCCTAAGACTCCTTAGGGCTTAGGGTTTAGGGTTTAGGGTTTAGGGCTCCAAGTATGCAAATAGTACCTACTTTGGGGCCCAAAGTCTATAAGTAGTACCTACTTTGAGCTGTTTGGGAGTCCTAGGGCTTTGCAGTGCTCCTTCTGGCTCCAAAAGGAGTCATACAGGGAATCACGGGCTTTTGAGGTTTAGGGGTTGGGTAGTTTGGGGTTGAAGGTGTTAACTTTGGAGATTGAAGCCTGAGCCGCAGGAGGAAACGGAAGCCTCGTTGTTTTGGGGGTCTACTGCACTGCCTAGGCATCACTCCGCGCCTGCGAGGAGGTTCGGCGGATCTCCCACTTGGAGGGTCGGGGGACTTAGTAAAGGGTCATCTTAGGGACTTATAGGTACCATGGCCCCAGTTAGGGTCCCTTTTGGGGTACTTATAAGTCTACTTACTACCTACTTACTAAGTCCCCTGACCCTCCAAGCAGTGTTGCAGCTTTGGGGGTTTTGAGTTTGGTTTTGGGTTAGCCCTAAACGTTTCAAGTTGTGGGCCTTCGAGATGCAGAGGTTTAGGGTGTGCCCTTAAGGTCTATAAGGCTTTGGTGTGTGTATTTTGGATATACGATTTAGGACATTCGGAATCTCGTTCCTTAGCCCTCGGGCTTGTTCCAGGTGTGCGCGACAGAAGCTTGAATAAGTACCAAAAGTATTCCTGAAAGTTCCTTATCATACTAACAACATCCTATTCCAATTATCAAGGCCCTACATTGCAACGGTTGCATTACATCTTGGGACAAGCACTTATTCTCCGAAGTGATCGCAATTTCCTTCAATTCCCTGCAGCAACCCAGCAAATACACCCACTCCCATCAGCCCAAACTGTCGTAAAGGACTCGGGATATTTAGCCCATAAAATGCTTTCCTTATAGTCGCATGACTGAAAATCCTTAGTCAGAACCCAGAGCGCAACCCTCAACCCCATAAGCCGGAACCCTACATAAAGCCCAAAGCCCCGAGAGCCTGAACCTGGTCCAGACCCGAAGCCGCCTAGACGCAATCTTCCAGCGTTTCCAGGCCGCAGCCTGGGAAGCAGCATTGATCCAAGGCATACATGTTGTTGTTAGGGCATGTAGGATCTAGTGTTTCGGATACTGGGGGTTTGTAGGGTGCACGGTTTAGGCTTTCGGGTGTAGAAGTGAGCCGTTTGTTTGTTTCAGTGTCTCACTTTGGAAGCGCGTAGGGTGTAGGCCTAGGCATAGGCCATGAGGGCTGCTCCTGTACATGTTGACTAGTGTTGCAGAGGGCTAGCAGCGGCAGATTGACAGGATTGTCAGTGGTTCGTCGTCGGAACTCCTTCTTGCCTACGCTGCGGCCAAAATATATAGACGACGGAAAGTCACTAACAGGTTCCTGAATAAGCTACATTATCATATCACCCAAAACCCTTACAAAAAGCCTCGTAGAGGTTCTTCCGTCCAAGAATCTGAGGATGCTGCTGCTGGCATTCACCCAGCAGAAGCTGCAGCTGGATGTGGCTGTCTACAATGCCGCCATCAGTGCCTGCGAGAAAGCTGCAGAGTGGCGGCAGGCTTTGGAGCTGATGTCCGCATTGCACGCAGATCGTTTGCAGCCTGACGTCATCACCTACAGCGCTGCTATAAGTGCCTGTGAGAAACCTATGGAATGGGAGAGAGCTCTGGTACTATTCATGGAGATGCAGGCACGCCAAGTGAGGCCAAACGTTGTCACGCACAGTGCCGTCATCAGCGCGTGCGCGAAGGCCGGAGAATGGCTCCTTGCACATTGCATATTCGGCCAGCTTATGGCAAGTCATCTCGAAGTCAGCCTTATCGCCTGCAATGCACTGGCTGCCGCCTCAGAAAAGTCTGGAACATGGACAATGGCTCAGCAGCTTCTAATGGACATCGCAGCAACTAGGCCCTAGAGTAGGCCCTTATCCTTTTTGGTTAGTGTTCAGGTCTCTTATAAGCCCCTCTACACTAAAAGGGCATCCTTTTTTACTCCTAGGTTACTCTTGGGTCTAGGCAATGTATTTGGAACCTGACCGCATCACCTGTGGTGCAGCCACCGGTGCCTGCAATTCGGCGTCCCAGTGGCAACGGGCCTTTCGGATCCTGGGCTTTCTTTGACTATATCTTAGAGGTACTTAGAAATATGTTTGTTAATTTTTGGTTATTATAATCCCTAAGAAACAGCTAAAATAATAATTGTTGCTAGGGTTCTAAGTTCAGTATAGTATATAAGGACCTGCATTTAAGCTGCTATTTCATACAAATATGGCAGGCTAGACTTGGAACTAGTGGTGTAAAACCCTAAACACTGAACCCTGCCTCCGAAACAGTAGCTTCGATCAGGGCCATTAAATCAGAGCCCAGGATCATGAGCAGTGCCGAGCTGGCGGTGGACGCCATCTCCCTGGATGCTGTCCTAAGTGACCAGCCTATGTGGGAGTTTCGTGTTGTCTTTTGTTGGCGGATGTCGGTCCTGTTTGGTTGTGCTTAGGGCCGAGGCTCTTTAAAGCAAGCATCGCGCTATTTAGTGTTCTAACTTGTGTGACGGCGCTTAGTTTATCTTTTAGGTTTTGTAATTTTCATGGCTTCTTTTGCCGGGATCTCCAAAACTTGTTGCTTGCTTTGTAGGGAGCTGGAGCTTAGAGTGCTTTAACTTTCCGAAACTCTCACATGGTTTCCTTCGTCCCACACTGGTTGGCCGAGCTATCTCCTGTTCTAACTCTCCCTCAAAATGAGCATGTACGCAGACGAATGACGCGACAATACAGTGACCGCCTTTGTCGGACACATGAAACACATGTGGTGACATTATATGATATGCAAGTATAATATTGATGCATACATATGCTCGCACGCATGTGGGTAGTCACTGCTACACAGTCACACTTACAAGCCTGCCTGCAGTAGCCATGCAAGTTTAGGCGTACTATCAGAGAATGCCTTGCAAGCCAGGTGCCTCGTACCGGGCGTCCAGCATCAGGGCATGCGTGTCATTGCTGGCCCGAGTGGAGGATGTTTTCAAGCACCTTATTCAAATCTGGGTCCCCGATTGCCTCGGCACGGGGGCGAAGCCCAGTCAATTGAAAAAGCTCACGCTTTAATAAACTATAGACTCCCTGCCTGGTCGTAATAACCCTGAGATACCCGGTCTGGCTGAACCATGCGAAGGCAGGGCTTGGTATAAAAGCCTGCATAGTTTTTTCTTCCAGAGGGTTCCCGAGTGCTCGTATACTACAATATACTCCAAAGTCGTAATCCACTGATTACAGCACGGTACATCAGACTTTGTTAGAGTTGAGGAGTAAAAAGCTTGGCAGCTCTCTTGCCCATTACTCTAACCGGTTCCCATTGGCAGTGAAAGTCTTCAGTGGTTAGTGGAAGATACACACCTCTTGGGCTCTTGGGGCGAATCAAGAGCAATAACAATTAGCAAACGCAGTCCAGGAGTTTAGGCATGGTCGTGGTTCTTGCAAGAGGAAGCTGGGGTCTGAGAACCTGATGTCGTGGTTTAGGGTTTAGGGGTGTTGCAAAAAAAGGTGGTGTTTCAATGCATGGGGCATACCGGTATGATGCTGCCCCGACCTGTCAGGAAACTGTCGTGAAGAGGGCACAGGGCAGAGGTTTCTGTCTAATACAGACGCCCGCATAATTGCTAAAACTCATTCCGTAGGGTTCCTGATGCTAACTATGTTATGCTTTGTTATGAGAAACCTCAAACTCCTGCTCTACTACCCCGAGTAATACTCCCCCCATTGTGACCCTCATTTAATTAAGAAGGATCCGTTAGGGAGTTTCCGAAAATAGGGGGCCCAAATATAGTACCCCAAATAGTAGGATCTTTATTATAAGGGCCCCAAAATAAGGTACCCCTAATTGTCGGAAACCCACATGAAGACTTTTAAGGCCTCTACACTTGTTCGCTTCTGGGCTCAAGACGGTTCCTGGGAGTGGGGGACGGGGAGATCCGGACACTCGGGCCGAGATCTCCCCTGGCCCTACAGTCTCGATCGTAGTTACCCTTTTTGGTTCAGCCTTTACTTTAGGAATTTAGTATCCGGAAAGGTTTCCAAAAAGAAGGGGGAGCTCCCATGGAGACTGTTGGCCGGCCGTCCTTGTTTCGGCCCTGGGATGGGGCTGCCGGGAAGATGCCGCGCTTTCCGATATCTCCCCCTCCGCTGCGATGGCTCTTGGAAGGTGGAGTTGGGGAGCACAGGTCTAAAAGCGTTTACTTGGAGGGGCAGGGGACTTAGTAGGTAGGTTTTATAAGAGTTATAAGTACCCTAAATGGAGCTACCCCAATTATAACCCTACTTATAAACCTACTTACTAAGTCCCCTGCCATTCCAAGTAGGGCTTCTGTAGGGCTTTTGGAGTTTAGGCTTGGGGTTTATATTCATAGGGTTTATGCCGTTTAGGGCTTCTGTACATAGGGCTTTTGGAGTCTAGGCTTGGGGTTTATATTCATATAGGGTTTTTGCCCCTTGACATCTTGTTCAACCTTGCTCAGAGCGGATCATTCAAGAACCAGGGTACAGCTTAAGCACAGACCCCCAACCCCAGGCAGAATGGGCTCTAGACTCCAAAACCCTCAAACCCTATCTAAACCTAGAAACCCCTTAAACTCTATGTAAACTTTCACAACCCTTACACGCCAAGCCCTGAAACCCCGAGGCCTTGAACCCCAAACAAACCTTTAAACAGCTCGGACAGAACGTCAGACTTCGCTTGCCTGATTTCGAGACCCAGGCCTCCGAGTGCGTGGCAGGAGGTGCTTTTTGAATACCGGGAGGTGCAGCGCAGCATCGTCAGACACTCGGTAGGCCCTTATGGCCTGTTTTGTTCCGTCCTTTTTTTCGGTCCCCAACCTTAAACCCGAAACCCTAGACCCTGATTCTGTCCACAGTTCCTTATTAAATTGGTTCAAGAGGAATGAGGAATGAATTGTTAGGGCCAGCCCAGGATACAACCTTGCAATCAAAGCCTGTGGCAAAGTGCTGCGATGGGCATCCTCACTGGAGCTGCTAACAGCATTGGCAAGGCAGCGTCTACAAGCGGACGCTATTCTATGTAGCACCACTATCTATGCATGTGGGCAGGCTGCGCAGTGGCAAAAGGCAATTTCAGTTCCTTGGTTCTTGTCGAGAAAATCAGTTGAACGTGACACCCTGCAGGCGTATTCACAACGCAATAGGTATTTTGTATCCTAAGTTCTGCCAGCTTACCCTCCGTTCATTACAGCCGCGAGAAGCCCTTAACAAAAAACACTGACTATGAGATCCGACAAGCCAGGTGCTGACCAACATGGACGTCGACTCTGTGCTGGTGGACGTGATTGCCATCGGATCTGCTGCAGGAGCCTGCGAGAAGGCAGGGCGATTCATTGTAGGGCATTGCGGGGCATAAGTATAAGGTTTGGGGGTTCGGGGCCCTTTAGGGTGTAAGGTTTGGGGTAGGAGGTTCCCAAAATCCTGAACCCGACCCCTGGGTGCAAGACGCCTTAAGACACCCCTAAGGCTGCATGCTGGCAGTCCGCGATCTCTTTGCTGGCCGATCTCGAGGGAAGGCTCGGACTCAGGAAAATTCAGGGCTTCAAAGCCGTGGCTTAGGGTTTTTTGCGTGTTTGTTTGGGAAGGCATGCTCAGGGTCCAGTGCTTCACCCTATCTTAAGTGCTCTTTAGTAGCACACGTTCCCGAATTCAGGGTTCTACTTTCTATCTAGTTCCAGAGGTCTGGGAATTGAAAATGCTGCAGAAAAAAGCCAAAAGATACAGATCGCTTTGTCCAGGAGACTGCGGGGAAGTCTCATCCTCTTGAACTCTGTCATCAGCGCCTGTCAGAAGGGAAGTGGCTGGGCCATGGTGGATGCTTTGATCCACCAGGCATTTTGGTGGGCTTTCGGGCTCATCGGATGGGGCACTGGGAGCATGAAGCCTAAATGGATTCTCCAGTGTTTCGGATTAATAAAGGGGCCTAAGTAGTTACCAATACTATTTGGGGGACTACATAATTATGGTTATAGTACAATGGCCCCAAAACCCTATTCTAATTATTAAGGCCGCTACATTACATGCTTATGCCTTCACAACTTCCCGTTGTTGGTTTTTGGAGCTTGGGTCTGTAGCTTTGTCTTAGCTTAGCATGCTTCGAGTTGGAGATGCCTGAGAGTTGAGGGTGTTGGTGTTCGACCTCGCCTTCGGGGAGCAATCGACCGAGTGGGCGGGAGGATAGGTATAACACCGGATGCCGCTTACCAGGTGCCCGTGTTACATCCTTGTCTCTGTACACGAGAGACGAGACATGCCTTACAGGCCCCAATGCTTGCAACCAGACCATTACACATAATCAATCAAAGCCTCCGAAGGAAACGCAGTCAAGTATGGTCCTGTACGCCGCTTTTGCAGACCCCATCCCTGGAACCCTCGCCACTCATGCCAGTAGAACCTGAGAACCACAGAAGCCCTGAAACTCGCCAGGTCTCGGCCATGCACCTACAGCCTGACCTGATCACATACAACTCCGCGCTCAGGGCCTTAGCCGAAGCTTTGGCCCGCAAGAACCCAAAGACTCCAATATCCCTTAAATAAGGAATATACCTTAAACGAAAAAAATCCCTTGAATGATTTAAGGTATATTCCTTAATTAAGGGATGTTGGAGTCTCTGGGAAGTTTGAGATCGCCTTGAGGTGTCCACGTAAAGTTGAGGGTTTTGGGTTTGGTATTGCGTTGGCCCGGCCGTAGAAGGGTTTAGTATGGGGGTTTAGTTAGGGTTACGCGCTCAGGGGTCGAGTTTGGGGTTCATCGGTTCGCGACAATGCTGCTACGGGTTGCCGCGCTCATTGTCAGGGGCCTGAAAAGGTAGGATGAGGGTACCCAGAGACTCCAATATCCCTTAATTAAGGAATATACCTTAAATCTTTTAAGGGATCCTATTATAGTTTAAGGTATATTCCTTAATCAAGGGATATTGGAGTCTTTGGGTAGGCGGGGTAAATCCCAAATAAAGGTCCTGAGATCCTCCGGTCGTTCCCCAAAAACAGAAAGTGCAGCATAGAACCGATCCTGTTGTTTGAGACTTCGCAGAGCCTCGAAAACCCCTTAATTAAGGAATATACTTTAAATCATATTAGGGCTCCTATTATAATTTCAGGTATATTCCTTAATTAAGGAATATACTATAAATCATATTAGGGCTCCTATTATAATTTAAGGTATATTCCTTAATTAAGGGGTTTTGGAGTCTCTGGGTTCTGGGGATTTAGATGGATGCAGATATGCACTTTAGTGACGTTATGATGGCTACTCGTATATAGAGCTCCTGCTGCTATAGGGACTACTCTCCTCCACAAGCAGAAACTCATATTTTTCTCTGTGTGTGTGTGCGCGCTTGTACTTCCTGTGTTGTGTTGGCACGTTGGGGGTATTGATTGATTCCTTGCATATGCGAACAGGCACGCTGCGGCCAATGTCAGGCCCGAGCCCCTGGAAACCTTGAGGCACCGGAACCTAACGATGCCAAGACAGAGCAGGAAAGGCCCTAAACTCTAGACTTCAAGGCCCTACCCTAACCCCAAATAACCTTCCTTTTTAGGATTTCTATAAGGAGATCATATTAAGGAGCCCTAAAGAGGTAGGATCTTTGGGGTTAAGGTAAGTCCTAAGGCTTAAACATGCCCAAGACATGACAGGAAAGGCAATGGTCCAGCAGCACCGCCTTGTTCCAAGACTTGCTGGAAAAGATGCTGCAGCCAGATGTCGTCACCCACAGCCTCCTGGCACTGTGACCCTTCAGGGTTCAGGGTCCCGCAACCTCTTGGCACCGTGACAGCGTTGAAGCCTTGTCCCCTTCATGTAAAATCAGGGCCGGCTAGTTACAGAGTCTTCAGCCTGAGGACATTCTTATGCCGGGACTCTGGAGGGGGGCGTCTGGGTTGATGTAGACATCCGTCCGGATACACACCATTAAACAACAGTAAATCCAAGTCCAGCACTCGTTTCTGGCTGCTGATTATTGCTGAGGCCCCTCTAGTGTGTGTGTGTGTGTGTGTGTGTGTGTGCGCGTGCGCGGGCAACTTGGTTCGTCTCGGCATTCTCATGTTTGTTAGGGTAGCAGTTTGTGCTCTTACTGGTAGCTGAGGTTCGCTGGTGACAGGTCTCCAGCTAGCGGGAGAGTGGCAGCGAGCCCTCGTGGCATTCAGCCATGCACTGTCGCAGAACGTCGAACCCAACATTGTCTTTTATAGTGCAGGCATTAGCGCCTTCGAAAATTCTGCTGAATGGCAGGGTGCTTTATCTTTGTTTGCTGATCTCATCGCCGGCAAACTCCAGGTGGACTCAACCGCATATACCTCCTTAGTGACGGTTTGTAGGCGAGCTTGCATGTGGCAGACGGCTCTGGCTCTGCTTTCAGAGGCCCTGGAACTGAAGGTCTTTCCAGCTTTGATATTGCACAACTCTGCGATCAGTGCATGTGAAGCCGCGTCGGAGGCAAAGCAGGCTTTGAAACTTTTAGCTAGTTTTGGAGACTGTTTCCTGCAGCCTGGCGAAGCAACGTACAGCACGACAATCAGCTCTTGTGCGAAGTCTTCAGAATGGCTCCAAGCACTGTTGCTCCTTGGGCAGATGAGCCATGTGGACCTCTCTGCCAACGTGGTGGCATATGGCGCAGGCATCAGCGCCTGCGAGCGAGCAGCCAAGTGGCAACATGCACTTGATATGATTGTATGCATACGTTTCAGCGACCTGCACAACAACGAAATCACCCACGGCTCTGCAACGAGTGCATGCTGCTTGGCTTGTTCAGCGGATGGAGCTGGTCTGCGTTTAGCATCTTGATGTGAGGGAAGATGCACCCAACAAATCCAAAGAAACCTGTTTCAGGTGACCGGGCCGGCGAGTGGCAGCCGGCGTTGCTGCTCTTTGCAGTCACTTCTACCAGGCCATCCAAGCCCAAACCTAACGTCAATAGCAACCTCCCAGCATTGCCACTGGCTCGTGTCACAAGGTTAAACATGCAGCGAGGAATTCCTGCCCTCGGAAGCCTGATGAACCCTGCACATCTCAGTCTCATCTCTTTTAAACCCTTATATGCACATCTCTAGACCCCCAAACAATGACAAAAGAGCTCTGCCGAAGAACCGAGGGCCGTGAAAGCTGACATCGTCCTGCACAATGCAGCAGCTTGTCTGCCCACTGTCATGTCAGTATGGGCCACGGGCTGCTACTGCTAACATAAAGCGTCCCAATTCTGGGTCATACCTAGACCCCATAAAGCCTTCCTTTTTAGGTTCCTTTTTTTGAGGGGGGTCCGGGTTAGGTCAAGTCATAGGCCTTGTTTTGGCAAAGACTGGCAGGTGCTGGGCTCCCTCCGTGCAGGCGCGAAGTGGAAGTTGTCCTTCGAGGCCACTTGGAGGTTCCTAAGGCTTCCTTGAAGGGTCCCTCTCAAGGGGCCTAGAGGGATTCTATATGGGTGTAGGGTTTGGGCATATGCATTGTCCAGGTGTACCAAGGGCCTACTTGGAGGTTCATGGGTAGTTACAAGTGGAGTTATAGGTAGGGTAAGCATATTTATTACTTTTTAGTCCACCTTAAGGGGCTTATAACTCGAGAAGTGAGGTTTGGGGGTCAAGAAATAGGGTTTGCGGTTTAAGGGTTTTAGGTTTGGGGTTTTGGTGGGGGGGGTTCGGTGAATTGGGTTTGGAGAAAAGGGTTTGTTTTGTAATTAGGCTTTCAGGGTTCGGGAGTTTAGTCCTATGACGCCTACACCTACCTCGCCTCTGCGCTTCATGTCGAGGAATCTTGATTGAGCTTTAGGGGTGTCCCGAATATGGTTTAGGGGAGATTGGGGGAGAGCCCGGGTCTTGATGATAAAGCGCATGTCCTCTGTATCTCATTTCAGGGTCATTGCCCCTAGACGTGTAACCCTTGACACCTACAGGCCTTGAATCCTAAAGCAGCAGACGAAATTAGGACGGATTTGGTGAAGACTTTGCCTTTCCGAAGCCCGGCACGTCCTAGATGGGCTTCAGCTCGTTTGAACAGCCCCCTTCCAACGAGGCTTCGAGACCCTGGGAGGCTTTCTTGGGCTCTTTGATTTTGATCTGAGTCCAAGAACCAGACATGCAACACTTCAGGTGCTGCGCAAGTTGCGGCCCGCAAGCCTGCACCCAACGCTGATCACGCATCTTGGTCGGGTCAAAAGCACAGCGACTAGGTATCCACGCTGTGGTATTGTACGTGTCACGACGAAATCGGCTGGCATGTCGGAGACTGCGTCGGGGAGACTGCATGTTACGAGATGAAACAGATGCAAACCAGGCTGGACATTCCAAGCCGAACCCCGGCCAGAAGACTTGCAGGATCCAATTTGTAGCTGTGGCATCAGAAATTCTTCCGTGCTTCCAATTGCGGGTCAGATTTGGTATCTTTAGTGCTTTCTCCTCGCACAGATGGCGACAGTCTTACGTCATCAAGAGGTCACCGCTTGGTATTCCTGGGTTTCGTGAAGTGGACCCGCACCCGATACCTTAAACTCCAAACCGAAAACCCTAAACCCCAAACCTAAGAACCTCGCCTGGCTGTGTCCGAGTCGTGAGAGCGTAAACCCCAAACCCCCCAATCCCCTCCTAAAACCTTAATTCCCCCCGCCCCCCCGGCCAACCAAACCAGAAATCCTCGAACCCAGTAGCTTCGGAAAATCCACAGCACAGAGCCAAGGCAGACTGCCACGATCTCCACCTGCGAAGCTGCGGGAAGGTCGCATCTCCCTTTCTCAGCCCTGATAGTATGGTTTTTAAGGATATTGGAGGAATATTGAAGGCATATTCCTCCTTCACAGTATGTTTCAAGGATATTAATGGAATATTTGAGGGATTCCCCTCATATTTATATAAGGAATACTTTATTATGTATATTCCTTAGTTAAAGGGTAGTGTGCTGTCTGAGAATCTCTCACAAACCAAAGTGTAGTGGACCCGTGCCTCTGCCAAGCCTGCGTTGGGGTGCTGAAACGGTACCGTACGAAAAGACCGACACCGAAGCTTGAGATGTGAGATGAGGCAAAGGCAGAGGGCCGAAGCGGTTTCGGGAGACTCCCCCATAAAGTTAAGGCATCCGATCATCGGCAAGTCTTATGATGTTGCCTAGGACGTCCACGCAGTGACCTTGAGTCGAGAGCTGCTAGAAGCACCCCACAGACTGACTATCATTGACTTGCAGTCTGTGACCTTAAAAGGTCAGGGTGTAGCTTAGGGTTTCAGAAAAGCTTCTTGTAGGGGTTGCGAGAGGACCTTGCGGAGTCTTTTTGGGTGTTCGGGGGTCAGGGCTTTGGGTTGCGGTTTGTAGCGTTTGGATGTTGCATGCAGTTTGGGAAGTGTAGTGTTTAGGGTCTACGAGGTTTGCAGTTCTGCTTTGCGCCGACTGGAGGAATCTTAGCAGTCATGCGTTTGTGGCTACACTATCCGCGGTTGGAGTATGCCGGCAGTTTAAACTTCTTGGGGCGGCGGGTTCTCGAGCATATGTCATGGAGTCCATGCCTTTCACCACGAAGTACCCGGTGAGTTGGTAAGAGCCCCTAAAACCGTCTAAACCCTAAAGAACCCCCCAAACCGCAAAACAATCAGCCAAACTCCCAAACGCTAGAACCCTTAAACCACTAAAACCCACCAACACCCCTAAAACCCCTCCAAAACACCAAAACCGCCTTCAGGGTGTAAGGGGTTAGGGTTTTATGCGTCATTCTACGTGCTCTTGCGGTGATTCAACACGCGCAACATCGCAAACGAATGCAAACAGAGTCCAGTTTTCGGGTAGTGCCTCTATGAATCCTTGTAGTAACTATTATCGAAACCCATAAAGTAAGATTACATGAAGCGACCTTAAACCGTAACCTCAGTGGTTTCGACACCAAATCCGTCAGGTGGGAGCCGGCACATCTGCTTTTTCAAGAATTCGCGGCCTTGCGACTGGCGCCCGATATTGCCACCACCAATGCCCTGGCAAGCTCTCTCGAGGCTTTGAGGAATTCACAGATAGATGCTGCAAGCACACCCTGCAAGATAGTAGGTTATGGCCTCCCAATAGCAGGCTACACAATTGTAAAGCATTTACAAGGTAAGCAGAAGGACGCAGAAGGACTCTTTAATTTTCTCGGTGCTACTGACGCCAAGAATTCTCGGCCCCGATGGAATGTCGAAGTAGCCTCAATTCCAACAGCTCGCCCACTTTGCTTTCAGTGGGCCTTTTGGGATTTTTTTTTTTGCAGAGAAGAACCCACGGTAACTTCGAAGACCTCTACGAGGGTCGGTTGTTGTGAGGTTCCGCCTTACTTCGGGTCTTTGTAGGAGTCTAGGACAAGGGCCCTGAGCCCTAAACCCTCAACTTAAGACTTAAACCCTAAACTCTAAACCCTATCCTTCGACTAACAGTCTTTCTGCTGCCTAGGAAAGAGGCCGGCAGTGGTCCCGCATAGTGGGCCTCCTCAGGCGGAAGTTTAGGGTTTAGGGTTGATGGCCCTGCATTAGCTTCAGGACCCTAAACTGTTGGAATTATAGC